CTATCAGGAAGAACATTTTTTCATTCTCATCGTCGGGTATATCCACGCCATACTTTTGCAACTCCTCTGTTATTTTCTGGTGACTTTCCTTAATTTGATTTTCTAAATAAGGCAGAGATTTCTGAAGAAAATAAAGACAAAATATAAATATGGACAGGGAAGGAAAAGGACGCCCCCACCTCCTTCCGAGTGGCCGCAGGGCCCATCTGACCTCCCAGGCCTCTAAAGGGGAACACTTTCCAGGTGGAGAGAGGGGACAGTGGGATCTTGTTTTCTACCCAGGTTTCCTGCCCATGTGACACTTTCCCACTGCCTGACAGTGTAAACAGCCTGACAGCCCCCCTGTGGGAAAGACACCCACTTTGTGTGGTTCCCAGGGTAAGTGGAGGAGCATTTCCTCCTGGGATCCCATCAAGGAAGCTCCCTGCAGGGATTAGAAAGATCCACCTGCCTACTAGGTTCTGAAAAGGTGGCAGTTGGGACAACTTGAGATTCAACAGCTCTGAATGTTTTTAACAAAGTTATGGGGACTGGTCCTTCTAACAATATGGTGACTGCCCATGCTGGCACACTCTTCCATGGCAAACTTCTAAAAATGGCTAAAATCTTAACACTGTCCTTTTAAATGTATCAGGGAGCTAGCAAGTTAATAAGAGATCTTCAGAGGCCAAAGTCAGGTGACTGCCACCTCCCAGAGACTCAGGAACAAAGCAGCAATGATGCCTCACGGGCATTTGTCTAGGTGAGAAAAGGTGAACTTGAGTCTATGAGTCTGACTTGGTGCCTAGGCAAAACATCAATCCCCACGCTTGCTGGAGGTGGGGACTGGGATAAAGGAGCATCCTCTTTCTGCATAAAGGTGGGGTCCAGCAGGCTCTGCTCTCATCATTACAACCGGCTGAGAACCCTGAGCTCCACCTGCACTCCTGGCACAGCATGGAAGACCTTGAACTCTGGCACTGAGTTGAAAATTTAAAAAAGCAATAGATTGTGTTCAGGCAGATTTGAAAAAAACAAAACACACAGAGAGCTTATATTAAGCTTTTAGAAATGAAAAATATGTTCATTACAATTGCTAAGACATTGTAATGAACATATTGGTGGTTGGTAATGAGAGTCAGTTAGTAGGGTGTGCGTAAAACTTAAGATTTAAGCAGAGAGTCCATCGCCACACCCACCCATGGTCCTCCTACAAGCAGCATCCACACCACCCAGGGGCTTGCCGGAAATCAGAGTCTCAGGCCCCACTCCACGTCCACTGAATCTGAAAATGCCTCTGAAAAGACCCCAGAACATGTGTGTGCGCAGCAGCTTTTGAGAGGCCAACGAGGTTCAGCTGTGTGCATGTGGGAGTCTTTTCAGAGAGCAGACGGCTCCAAGTGTGCTTACGCTGATGTGCATGATGAGCTCCATGGTGAGTCTCTCTGCCAGGCAGGGGACCGTGGCCCTCCCTTCCTCCAGAAGATCCCTAGGAGGGAATGCAGGATAAGACCTCCATCTCGACACAGCCAGAACACGCCAGTCTGCATCCCGCCATGGGGGATGTCAGGCGGTCACCTACAACTGAAGGGAATGCCTTTCCACTGGCACCCAACAATCTGCAGACCAGTATTACGGAGAATTATGACTGAATTTTAGTAATCACAAATATTTCCATGACAGACTGCAATGATCTCTTCCAGGTGATACAATAAATGTGTCTCGTGACATCTGACCATAGAATTGATCTTCGTAAAAATACACATACACACCTAGAGATGTTTCCCTAACCCATGCCCTCTTCCGTGTGTGATGTACACACACACATATGTACATATCTATCATC